TGCAATCTCATATATACAAGGAGCTTCTAATAATAACCAAGTTGAGAAATTACATGCAGTCATCATTCGTATCCATAGGTTATCTGGAGATACCAACGAAATGGTGACAACTGTAAAAGCTCCGATGAGAAGAAATTATACAATCTGAAATCGTCGAGGTTTAGTCTGCTCCCGATGTTGGAAACTCATATTCAATCTAAGACGAAAGACAATTATCATTTTGATGATATCCCTATATCATATAAGGAGTTGTACGAGAAGCTACTTGAAGCGCGAGAAGTAACTCCACATCCGCATTATGTGAAACCGTTGCAATCTCTGTATCCGAATTGTATGACATCAACGTTTATTGTGAATATCATGTTGAAGCTCAAAAACATACCATTGAGAATTGCCTTGCCTTCGAAAATCGAGTCCAATGTCTTTTGGATCATGGAATCTTAGAGTTTATGATAAATGATCGACCTAATTTGGTAACTGAAGGTCCTGCTAGATTAATACCAAAAGTGTTCAAAGGTAATAGTATCAGTAAGGGTGTCCAGAAGAAAGAAGATTTGCTGATGTACGAGGCTCAAATAAGTCATTTAAAGATTGAAACGATAAATTGAGCATAGAAATGGAAACCATGCATGAGGATTTCCAAAAGGTCAGTCAAGCCTTTAAAAATGTTGATATAGGAAATACCCCAGAAGAGTGGATAACAGGGGTCACCAGACTAAAAAAGAGCTGCAAGATACATGAAGGTCGAGACAAGAAGTTTTATCATGATTTACGGATTGCAAAAGAAAGACTCAATACATCTGTCATTGAATTGGGAAGATGTCAAGCCAAAATCAAATGTTTAATAGTGTTATAATCAACATGGAAGATTCATATCAGATTCATCGGTGTGAGAAATTAACTTTCAAGAAAGTATGCTTGAGAATACCACAATCATTTGAATCGAGAGCAGATCAAGAGATGGGTTGATCTAGATGATGCATTTTTTGGATAATATCGGTACGTTAAAGGTTTAGCTCCTAAACATAAGGATCTTTAAGGAGTAAGGATGAAAGCCAAAGAAAGATTTTAGGAGTATGCCTTAAGATGGAGATGAGTGGCAGCACAAGTTCAACCTCCCATGTTAGAAGAAGAGATATCACAGATGTTTCATGATTCCTTTCCTGCTCCTTTCTTTGAGTTAATGGTAGCAAATCTGACGAATGAATTCGAGAATTTTGTGAAAAATGGAGAATTAATTGAAAATGCAATCAGTGAAGGAAACTAAAAAGTCACATCCAAAAGCCCAACTAATCAAAAAGCGAAAGCTGATGATGTGAATGAATGTCGCATCCAGAGTCCCCGCAACTGTAAAAGAAAATGAGCAAGTAGTTGTTATGATCGACCAAAGAAATTCACACGATCGAGAAATACTTTGGAGGTTTTCCAAACTTCCATATTAGATTTATACCCTCATTTGATTAAAGGTCAATACATCACACCAAGACCAATGAAAGTACCACCAAACCCTGCTGCTCATAGCTATGATCAAGATAGTATTTGTGATTTTCACTTGGGGGTATCTGGACATTCTACAGGCAATTGTAGGCTACTGTTAAAAGAAATATATATTCATGACATTTCAAATCAACAATGTCTTGCTTAAGAAAGTTCACTCGAAATAGTAATTTGTCTCACTTGAGATTACAGTAAATCCTTCGGGTCATCAGTAAGTCTTTCGTGCATGATGCTTAAATCCTTCGGGTCATCTATAAGCCTTTCGATCAAGATGATTAGTCCTTCGGGCCATTCATAAGACCTTCGGGCAAAATGTTTTCAACATTTACGTTGTTTGATTTATGATATTTCGAATCAGCGACATCTTTCAAAACAAATTTTATCTCACCTAAGATAGTTCATCTTCGAACAAATTTCTTTGCATTCATTTCACATTTTTATCCAGATATTAAATATTTGACAGGAATTTCAAAGTTAGCAAAGATTTCAGCAAATAATTAGTCTACTTTTCAATCTTTGAAAACGTGGATTTCAGCAAAGATTCAAATCCATCACAGAAGGAGATGGATCATCATTTTCAATGGAGAGCTCATAATGAGAAGAACTCATCTGATGAGAAAGAAGAAGTTCATAATGAGAATAACTTGTTCAACCTTTTGCTCAACTCTATCGTATAAGGAGCTAGATCAACATCAATATTTTCAGTGGAAGAGTTCATAATAAGAAGAGTTCATCTGATGAGAAATAAGAAGTTCATAAAGAGAAGAACTTGCTTAACCTTAGTTTGATTTCATCAAAGAAGGAGATTGATCGTCATTCCAGTCGAAGAGTTCATAATAAGAAGAACTCGTCCGAAGTGAGCAAAAAGTTTATAAGGAGAAAAACGTTTAGCTCAAATTTGAACAGTTCAAGCTAAAAATGGTGCTTTATATCTTTGCTCCATTCATGTTCCACAGTAACGAGCAAAGAGGGGCAGTTGTAATCACCATTCTTACCTCAATAGCAGCCCCCTCCACGTTACAGCTCCACCCGACGGTTCCAGCAGCTTTCAGAGGAACACCAGTTCTCCCTCCACGTCGGTAGCACCACCAAGCAGCATTCCAACAACAACAACAACTGTTCCTCGCTCCATCCAGTAGCTTCCAACACCTCACAAGTTGTCCCTCCACGTTTCAGTAGCTCCCACGGTTTCCCTTGCTCCATGTCCCAGCATCTTCTTCAACAAATCACATACAAACAACAAATCAAAAAGAATATTTTACATTGGAAAGATCTTGTAACATTTTGGGTTATAAAAACCCAAAGAAAGATTATAAGGACGCCCGGTGGATGTTTTTGCAAGAAAAAATTGTAACTTTTCTCCATTATTCGAAATACAACAGCAAAAACAAGAAACATTTCCAAATGTTTATTTTTTTCAGTACCCGTTTTCTTCTTTATTTACTTGTTGTTCCGAGTAGAAATATTGGAAGAGATGAGTGAGTTTACCTTTCCTCGAGCTCCTCGTCGAAATCTCAAGCCGGCGTGGTCCTTGGTTTTGTGAAGAGCTCTCGATCGAGCAAAAGAGAGGAGAAAGAAAGCCTCTCATGGATTGTTTGGTCTCGGTTTAATGGCCTATTTGGCCATCTTTATCATGACTGACGTTGTAGCCGACAGCGTTGGTGAGTAGCTTTAAAGCTCTCGGTCGCATGTTAAGTTGGTGAGGGAGTGTGTGAGAGAAGAAGATGATAAAGAGGGGGAGTTTTTTTTTCATGTCTCTGGAAAGAGATAAAAAGGGGGTTTTAATTTTAATTTTGTTTAGGTAAATTATGAGTAAGGTCCCTGATTTTGGGAGTTTCTTACTTTGTTCTCCTATTTTATGGGTTAATATCCAAATAGTCCCCATAATTTTAGCACTTTTTCTCATTTTGGTCACTAGTTTAAGGTTAATTATCTTTAAGTCCTCAACGTTTAGGCATCTATTTACATCTTAGTCACTAACATATGGTCGAATTGCATAGAGCCCCTTAAACTTTTACCTTATCTTTATAGTTTAGTCACTTAAAATAGGGAAATTCACAAAATAATTCCTCTAATTTATGCGTATATTTACACTTTAGTTCCTAATTTCTCTGTTTTATATTATTTCGAAATTAGCTGATATATTTTTATTTTTTTTATTTTGATCTCTTTGCTTTACTTTATTATATTTTAGTCATATTAATTCTATATTTTAATCTTTTGAACTATTTTATTTTGGGCATTATATTCTGATATCTTTTATTTTAGTTCTTTACTTTATATTTTAATATTTTATTTTAGTCCTTTACTTTATATTTTAATTTATGCTATTTACTTTTTATTTATTTAATTTAAGTTATTTAATTTCATTACTTTAATTTTCTATTTTTTATTTATTTTTGCTTTATATTTTTTAATACTTTAATTTTAGTCTTTTAACTATTTCGCTTTATTTTTTTTCTTTTCATTTTAGTCACATGAATATTTATGAAAGATTCATAATTATAACTTGACTAATTTCATAATTTAATTAAAGAATAATATTTATTTATTTTTTAATATTAAGAAAGGAGTTGTCTTAAAGTAACTAGATGTCATTTTCTGATATTTTTAAATAAATAAATACCCTACTTATAAAAACAATATATATATATATATATATATATATATATATATATATATATATATATACTTTAGTTATATTTTTCCTTAGAATTGTTGAATCTGAAATAACAGAATTTTAATTTAAATTTATATTAGAATTCTTAAATTTCTATTAATAGAGACAATTTATAATCGACGGGTATCAAATTGGGCGTTGTGGGGGTGCTAATCTTTCCCCAAACGTAACCGACCTCGAATCCTTTTTTATTACTAAAAAAATGAATTTTTTGTTATACGCAGACTGGTTTATCTTTTAATTGATGTTTATTTCAAAACTCTTTTAAAAGATGATTTTTAGGTATTCGACCTACCGTACCCAAAAAGTCGATGGCGACTCCAAAACATTTCAATAAAAACCATTTGTTTATTCACATTACTTTTTCCGCCAAGAAAAATTCGTACCCGGGTCCAAACCGGCTACGACACACCTTCTATACGTTTTCTAGGTTATAGTTTGTTAGAAATTTATTCTTTAAATTCGGTCACTTAAAGCGTTTATCATTTTATCTTATTTGTTTATTTATATTTGATGCTTGTTCAGAAGTTTTCTATGCGTTCCCTGTTCAGAGCAGCTCAACAGTAAAATTTTTGAACAAAGATGAGCATGCAGTGTAACACCCCGAATTTTCCCCCAATTTAAAATCCTAGAATTTGGGAATTTTTCCTAAATTATTAAATTAATTCCAGTGATTAATTTCAAAATATCGTAAAGTTTGTTTCCATTTTATGAAACCTAGATAACTCAATAACTCTTCTTGCTAATTTCCCAATTTTAGTTTGTGTTTAACCCTAGCAGCTTATACAGTGCGTCGTCCCCTCTGTCGTTTATTTTCTTTCACAAACCGTGCGCCTCTATATCTTTCTCTCTATCTAATCGTTGGCATTGCTGGAGTTAAGTCACCGGTGTGTTAATCCCCTCTCGACATTCCATTGAACGACGGTGCTTTATCGTCGCCTCCTTCACGGGTGAAGACTGTGCATCATCCCGGGTGGCCGTTCAAGGCCATTGGAGGGTCGGCCATCCTCCGAGGAAGATCCAGCTGGCCGGATCGCGTCTGGCAGCATCGTTCGGCCATGAAAAACACCCCCAACGGCCTTATATAGGTTCTGTCGTTTTCTACCTTCCCCGACCACGCCGTTGCTGACTGATTACGGCCGGTTGTGGCTTTTCCGACTCTTGGGTACTACTGCTGGTGCACCCTCGTTTAAGCGTTCTGACAGATCGTTATATTCGATCTGAACCCATTGCTGTCGTCACCTAACTGAATCTGAATTTATTTAATTATTTCGTCGATAATTATTATGTTATTTTGGAAATTGGTTTACTGGGGTTTGATTCGGATGTTATAATGTTGCAGGAAATTCTGAAAGGGGAACTGAGTTACTGCCTCCGTCACCTTTAGCCACACGAACTTTGCATCGAATCGTATAGCTCGTGTCGATTGTGAGTAGTAACTGACAAGTTTTAGTACTTTAATTTCGTAGTATTTTTAAAATAATTTATTTACTTAAATTATTTGTTGTAGTTACTGATTTGGATCGATCTACTGCCCGAGCTGACCGTGGTTGAGGTTATTATCAACGTTAGCTTTTTTCAGGTGTGTCTCTACCTAGTGCTATATCTATTTTGTGTTGTTTGATTGATTGTTTGGAATTGGTTGTGAACTTGACTTTTATGTGTAATGTTGCTTTAAATTATAATTCGGTTAAGAATGTTGTTTGGAAATTGGTTTGAGCACGATGGTTTTGTGATATTATTGTATCAGTTGAAATTCAGAAAATTATGTTATGTGACATGTGATATTAATCAGATTCGGATTATGCCATGAGTTCGGATTCTGGGATCATGTAATTGTATTTACATTCGGATCGGATCGAAATTCGGATATATGATATTCGAGTAATTATTATTTGAATATGTGTTATTCGGATCGGATAATGGATATGTGTGCCATTTGCATGTCATATTGGGACGAATTTTGATAGGGGAAGTTCAGTGCATTCACTCGACAGGGTGAATGTAACTTTCGGATTCCGTGGCCTCTGCCTTTGTGGCAGACCCCACTCTTCGGATATGGAGTGATTGTAGTTTGAGTGGTTCTAAGGAACCCACTCACTGACGGATTGTTTGGAGTATGGGTGGGTGCATAAGCATTTGCATATCATTCAAATATATGGTCATTACTGTTGATTGGCACTATGAATAATTGCTGTTGATTCGGATTATGCTATGACTTGTGTTTGTTTGTACTTTAGAGGCACACTAAGCTTTATAGCTTACACCACTTAATCTTTATTTTCAGATACTTGGGTTAGGAGAATCGGTACTTGGAGTTACGAAATCATTCAGACTTCGTTATATACATAGTATGGCATTTTACTTGGTTATCTATTCTGTATTTATTAATAATTTATTTGGACATTATTTATTATTATTTATGAAATTTTGGACTATTTATGTGTGTTTATAAATAATAATATTTATGTCGAATATTCTTTGGACGAATATTTTTAATAGATTATTGAAGTTTGAAATTGAAAGGAAATTTCTAATTTAAATGATAATTTTTTATGTTTTAAATTGAACATAGTTTACTCGAGGGAAAATTTATTTCAATTAAGCTCTCTAGATTCGACCTAATTCTCTTAGGTCGGGTTTAAGGGGTTACTTTCAATAATATCCCCTGCGTGTTGACAAAAGTTTATAGTCAGTCACTCAACAGATGGAGGAGGATTGCTCCGAATGGACTTGCAAAATGTGTGGGAATACAGGAATGGCCGATGGATCAGATGGTTACTTCTATTGCTTGAGATGTGGGTCTCAGGCTGATGACATTATTGATACGGGTGTTGCTGACGAGGATTTTATTGAAAAGGGTACCCAGGGTGGTGGTGCAGTTTACTTGGCCAGCCATACTCGCCATTCTCGCCAACCTGTCATCTCAGCCCAACCGATCTCACAAGTTGACCCCCAATCTCAACAATTTTGGTCCAATTTGAATCAAGATGGAATTGGAGATGGTATGGGGCCCTCGGGCACAAGTGATTTTGGCTCATACTCCATGTGTACATACAGTTATGAAGGTTATTACCAGGAGGTTAGGAATAGGTATGTAATGGGGTTGCAGATGATGATAGAAGCTCAATGTGAGGCTCTGGTGGAGAAGTTTAATGTGAAACCTTTGATTTGTGGGATAGTTGGACCTATTTGGTTGAGATTTTTGGCTAGCACTGGGGTTTTTGATGACGGTTGGGCTGATGAGGCTATTCATCAGTCCGAGATTAAAAAATCAGGTATCTTCTGTTGGCTGTATCATTTTAAACAATTTCTTGTATTTACCTTTTACTTGCATAACTATCAGTAGATGAATGAAAATTAGATGAATGAAAATTGATGATGATGATTGTTAGTGTCATAAGTGCTTTGTGGGTACAGTGATATTGCTGCTTTAGTTTTCATACAATTCTGCCCTAGGTAAGTAGGTTTCGATTGTTCGAGTGTTTGGTTTTTATAACTATTTATTTGCTCATTACACTCATTGTTTCTAGGCCTTGATAATAGTTAAGTATGGTTGATGTTATTCTGCTTCTTTCCATCTTAAAATTGATGTTAGTTTTCCTCAAGTGTGGACAAAAAGTGTAAAACGGTACTTTCCATTCAATGTCAGCTGTGCCCTAAAATTTAAATATTGAATAAAATATCTGTGTAAGGTAACACTGTCGTCTCGAATTTGGTTGGTTCCATAGTTTCATGAGAAGTAACATTTTCTTATCATTAAATTTTTGGTGGTGTGAAAGGAAAATAATTCATATAATCAAAGTTGTTTTTACTATATAGTTTTATTTGAAAGTATGGTTTAACTATATAGTTCTACTGGAGAAATTGAAAATGTCTTATTCCCTACAATTTACGTGCACATTATAGTGTTTTTTTTATTTAAAGTTGTTTGTTCTTATTGATAGTTATGTTATTTTTTTATCACCATCTGCATTTTGTCCTTTTGTTTAGGAGATATTGAAAATGTTAAGCCGTATTATCGTCACAAAGCAGAGCCTCACAACATCCACGGTCAGAGAGCATTAATGATATGGAATAAGTATTTAAGGAAAAAGATTCCGTTATCTTGTTCTTTAGCTATTTCTTTTCTAGGATGCCATATTGCAAGGGAAGCAGTTCTTCCAACAGACTTGATAAAGTGGTCAGTTGAAGGGGAGCTTACCTATTTTGATGCTTTTGTTGAAATTGAGAAACGCATTGGACAGTCTTTGCCTCCATTTCCTTTAACTCTTAGAAGTATGTTTAGGCCTGCACATGCTTATTCTGCTCAACAGTTGGAATCACTGGCTGCTACAATTGCTCAGTGCATAGGCTTGAATTTACCCCCATTGAATTTCTATGAAATTGCTTCCAGATATCTAAAGGAGTTGTCTATTCCAGTGGAGGAAATTCTTCCGTGTGCATGCCGCATATATGAGTGGGCGATGCCTTCAGAATTATGGTTGTCAGCAAATAATTCTGGACTTCCTACTCGTGTCCATGTGATGTCAATACTGATTGTAGCAATACGGATTCTATATGACTTAAATGGACTTGGGGTGTGGGAAAAAAGTTTGTCCAGTCCTAATCTTCCTAGTAGATCTACTGAAGCCATGAATAAGGACCCTGCAAGTAGTCCCAGAGGGGGGGACAATGCTAAAAATAGTTTTGGTTCTCCTCACAGTGTGGATGATTTGGATACTAGTTCTACTAAAAACACATCAACTGATCATGAATCCAAGTTTGATGCTACTGAGCTTTTGCGCAACCTTGAAACAAGATATAATGATATTTATAACACATATGGTGGCGTTAAATGTACAAGAGATCTTTCTAAAGCATGCCATCATATCTACAATTCTGTAAGGATGTGATCTTTGCTGGATCAGAACCGGCTGTGGACTTTTTTCACGAGGAGAAAACTTTAATCGACAAGCTTTGGAATTATTATCAAGAAGAAAAGGTAAGTTATAAGCTATGATAATATGTTATGTTGCAAATTGAAAGAAACGGTATGAAAATTCTTTTAAATGGGTTTTCTGCACTCCGATTCAATGGTCTGACTTCTTTTATGTGATTTTAAAACACAAGTATGTAGAATCTAAAATTAGGGATTTGTTCAGTAGCTGATGAACACTTATGTTGTTCTGGCTGAAAACAGTCCTTTTTCTTATTCGTTCCCTCTCATTTTTGGCTCTAATTTTTTTGTCCTTCCCATCACATCTAGAAGAGAACTTGTGGGTCAAATCCTTTGCCGTTCTTGATAAATGTGACACACTTTGTGAGTGAACCAGTTTTTAAGTTAGCAAATACTGCTGTTATGTTTGAATTATAATTGCCTATGTTGATTCCAGGGTTCTCAACCAGCAGAAGGTTTGACAGCGCAAAATTGCAGTGCCGACATCATGTATAAAGCGAACAAAAAGGTCAGAGATAATGAATATCATTCAAGTCCCTCCCATGATGGAAGGACTTCTCATGAAGCTATTTCGACTCAAAGACACTCAGATGGCGACAATTCATCCATGACTTCAGAGGAGCATGAAAATCCAGAACCCAGTGACAAAGTTTCAGCAGAGACCAATGAACATAGAGCAATTAGATTGATGAAGAAAAACATGGAGGAGAACAGGTTCTGTTATATCCCGCCAAGGGTTAAGCCGAGGAGATTAGATTACCTTCAATATGTAAGGAAGAGAGATGAAGGCGCCATAACATATGTTGCTCATGCTGATTACTATATCCTACTTCGTGCTTGTGCCATGGTTGCCGAGGTCGACATGCGGATTATTCATGTTGGGGTACTGGGCATGGAGAGGAGATTAGATTGGATGGAAAAAAGAATCGATCACTGCTTACATCTAACTCCTAGTACTACTACATGTAAATTTTGTAGTGATGAACCAAAGCAAGATGCAGTTCATACAATTGAACTTTCAAAACCGAATCTATTATAAGTTTCTCCTGTTGCCATTTTAGCTTTCAGATCAATTTCGAAGTGCTAACTTACAGTAGCGTTTATTAATCTTCCTTGCTGAAGAAATCAAACCATTTGAACTTTGTCATCAAGACTTGTGGATAGGATCAGGTTCTCTTGGAAATATTTGTTTGCAGTAAGAAGTCTCAATTTTGATTACATGTCCAAGGCTAGTGAAATCGATCGCCTGTAATTTATATGGTCAAATATAACATAAAATTGTAAAATGTAATTACTCTTCACTGATGAAACTTGTTTTGAAACAAGATTAGTAAAATAATACTTATAAAGTATAATAAAAGTATCATACTGGGGTTGTTTTGGTATATTTTTCCAAATGGCACCACCAATAATATGAGTAGCTTAGCTCCTTTTGCAGCTATAATATATTAATCATCGTCATATTATATTTTTGTTTGATTTGCGGGATGTACACATAATCTCACTGCCAGATGTATTAATACCATGTGTGTGAATTAATTAAGTAATGTGGTCCAATTAGATACCTCGTACTTATAAAATGTTAAAGCATTATTTCCATTTCAATTCATTATATCTAACAAACTAAAAGAATTTGTAAATTCATCAAATATATTCAATAATAAGAGAGGATGTTATTTTCTTTAGTTTAAATATTATATTTATAAAATATACACATATGAATAGATTAAAAAAATATAAATAAACATTTCCCTGTAAATATTCTATTAAAAAAATTGCTAGGCCAACTTTGACCGGATCCATAAGCCTGCCAAATATATTAAAACTAGATCGCATAAATCAAGACCAAAATCTATATCATATAGAGGTGATGGACATATTCTTTGAAAGTGAATGTCATAAAAAAATATATGAATATGTAGTAAAAGAATACTATTATTTCTTGATATTCTGTGTTCGAGCACCAGCAATTTCAAGAGTATAAGCGTTCAATATCAAATGGTTGAGAGTTATCTTTAAACATGTACCATCTTTTACTTATTCCAAATTAAATAAAAAAATTATTTATTTACGACATTCTATCTTTGGGCATGCATGCCCCTATATGTTATTTTTCTCTTATCCACTTGTGCATGCATATTATTAAAATTATAATATTTCAAGATATTAAATTAATTTATCTAAAAACACCGACATTCTATTGGGAAGTGGAGCTTATACATAAAGTTTATTAATCTATTTTGATATATTTTATGGGAACATTTGAAAATAAACTATACTTTAAATATTCCAAGGATCGATAAATCTAAAAGTATACGTTTTCCTTTTATGCATATTATATCGTCTATTTCGTAAACAATATTATCTTTATGATATAATAACAAAATTTATTATATTAATAGTTTATAGCAGTTTTTTTAAAATCGGACCGGACATTAAACCTGTGAAGGTACTGGTTCAACCGTGGTTCAACCCGGTTGAACCGGATTATATAAAATAATATTTTTTTTTAAAATTTTATATAATATTCAAAGCAATATTAATATATAGAGCACTACAGAAAAACGTCTAAAGAGCATAGAAGAGCAAAAATAGGAGAACAAAATAATCTCACATGGCTAAGAAACATAGAAGAGCATCCCAAAAGTCTAAATAGTTAAAATAAGAGAACAAAACAATCTCACATGACTAAGAAACATAGAAGAGCATCCCAACAAACTTCTATAAATAATAGAGGTAATTTGACATTCAAAATCATGGAGCCTTTTGGTGAGCACAGAGCGAACTATTCTTTCGCTTCAATCGAGCTCGAGTTTTAGGCTTCAATCGAGCTTCTAAAATTTTTTTGAGTTCGAGTCTTTTCGAGTTCAAGTTTCAATATTATATTTCGAGTTCGAGTTGAGCTTGATAATTTTTAGCTCGCGAGTTTTTGAGTCGAGTTGAGCTTACTTTTAAAGTTTTCAAGTTCGAGTTGAGCTCAGCAATACTCAAGTTTAACTCGGCTCATTTAACAAACGACGTCGTTTAGTTTAATTTTTTTTAAAAGAAAAAAACAAAACCGACGATTCACACCGGTTTTGCCGGTTTTCAGTAGGTTCAAACCGGTTTTACCAGTTCTCAGCCGGTTCATTGCAAAACTGGTTTTGGAAGTTAACCGGACGGGACAGTCCACTGGTTCACGGTTCAACCGGTTGAACCGACCGGTTCGGTCCAGTTTTGATAACCATGGTTTATAGTCATAAATATTGAATGTAATGGTAATACATATTATTTTAAAAAGATTAAATTCAAATATTAAAGGAGATATATTATTGTAGACAACCACTTTCATCCGGGTCAAAAAATTATATTTATTATTATTATTATTATTATTATTATTATTATTATTATTATTACATTACATTACATTACAAGCCCATCATCCAACACCCAGTAACCCAGATACCCAACAGCCCATCTAGCAGACTCAATACAAATGTAGAACCCAACTGTTGACCCAGAACTAATCCGAATCGGCCCAGGAATCGATCTGGTACCAGTCCAATTGTAGTTGGAGGCCGACTCGGATCCGACTAATTTGAATTAGGGTTTTGAAACCCTAAACGCCACTAACTTCAGCAGTCATTGCTGTTAACACCAGCTCAAGCCAAGCCACCATCGGTTCATCTCAAATCGTCGAGCCACTGACGAGCTGCTGCTGAGCCACCACCAACAATTGCTGTGTCATCAATATATCAAACAACCATCAAATCAAGCCAAAGTAAAAAAAAGATCATACCTAACACCTAAATCCCTAAAGTTTTGGGATTTAACCTACCCAAATCAGAACCCATTACCCCACTACAAAAATATCAATCATAAATCAGGGGGAAGCATTCGAAACAAGGGGGAGCCATTCGGGAAAAAAATACCGAACAAAAAAAGGGAAATAAAATACAAAATGGGAGAGAGAAAAAAAGGATACATATTCGGCCGATGAACGAGGACGACGATCGAAGGCCAATCTCGACGATCCAAATGGTGAGAAGCCACCCATTGGTGATAGGAACAACTTATCCCGAGACCAAGTTGATCCAAAGGTCGGATAAAGAGATCGGGGAGAGGAAAAGTCGAACGGTTTTCGTTCGATTTGTGAAGATCCTGACGTTTTTCAGCAAAACCAAGACCAGATCCATGTTATTGGCCTCGAGACAAAGCTGCTGGTGTAATCGAGGCTTGAAAAGCCACTGGAGTATTGTGGCTGCCGGCAGCTGACGGTGGCGGACGATGACCAATGTGGTGGCATGTGGCGAAGCCACTCATTGGTGGGAGCCTCGCCGACTCTGGTAGAGAGAAGGGAGAGCTTCTCTCTCTACCCAAAGAAAAGGAAAGGAATAAATGATATTATAAAGAAAAAGGAGAAGAAATGGGGTATTTATAGCCTATTCAAAACGAAGACATTTTGCCAATGACCTTCAGCGTGTTTTTCTGCTAGGGGTAAACAGCAATTTAAGCCCCTGTTTCCTTGCAATGTTTTATTTCAGACATTTAATGAAGTTTTAAATTGTTTGATTTCGAGCACTTAGGTTTCAATTTTTATATTTTAGTCCTATTTTTTTACATATTATGTTTTTTTGTTAATATTCAAAATTGACCCTCATATTTGTACATCTTTTATTTAGGTCATTGATTTGGTATAAATGTTTAGGATTAATTATTGTTTAGTCCTTTGTGTTTCTTATTTATTTTATTTTAGTCCGAAATGTTATTTATGGGTTCTTTTTATTTCTGGTCCCTGTATTTATTTTAAATTGATTATTGAGGCTCTAATTTGTTCATATTTATTTATCAGGTCCTTCTAGTTTCTGTTAATACCAGTTCAGTCATTTAAGTGTATGTTTTTGCTATTTTAAGTCCCCTAATATTCTATTTTTCTCTTGCAACTCATTCCTAGAATTAATTTGATCCATGAATTTTAATTATTTCCAATTTAATCCTTTTTAATTTGATTTTTTTTCATTCCTTTTATTTTCTTATTTTTTTATTACGATCTTAATACTAACACTTTGTTTTTGTTTGTTTTATTTTTTTTCTAAACTTTATTTATGATCTTTTTTTTGGATAATTTTAATTGATCAAAAGGTAAATAATTATGATCAAATTTTTAAATTTTAATTAAAATTTTAATTTTCGCAATTAAGACAACCGATAAATTAAATGGTACCGAAAGGGCAGTTCAAGGGTGCTAATCCTTCCTTGACTGTAACCGACTCCCGAATCAAACATATTTTTGGCAAACCGCAGATCAGGTAAGATGGTGTCCGATCAACCAATTTTTTTAAAATAAATAATCGGTGGAAGCTCTAATATTTTATTCAAGTCGAAGCCCAATTTTGGGCCCACCCTAAAGACGGTTGTAGCAGCTTGGCGACTCTGTTGGTGATAGGTAAGTAAGTCAGGCCAGAATTAATTTTCGGTTGTCTTTTTAAAAGAAAATAATTAATTTTTAATTTATTTATTCGATTCTTATTATTTATCTTTGATTATTTTTCAAATAAATAGTTGTACTGATATTTTTTTCCATGATTTCAGATTTTTGAAAAAGTTTTCATCTCAGGCTCTATACCCGAGCTCCGAACCTTTTTAAGTGGGGGTGAAAGCGATGCCTTCGTGAGAATTTATTCTCCGTGCGGGCTTAGGAAGTAACCTTCAAAATTCATATACCTTATGCCTTCGTGTGAATTTATTCTCCGTGCAGACATAAGAGAATGTATCCTCTCGAGTTTAACTTAGTCCACATAAGCTTGTAATGGGCTTAGGACTATGGGTCTGGCAAGCCCAAAGGGGCATCAGCAAGGAGAACTCAGGTACCGTCTTTAGAACCTAAACTGGGAGACTACAAGGAGTTAGAGCCTACCCCAAAACTTCACTTCAAAACCTTGGCTGTCTTGAGTTAGTTCCTACTTTACTTTCTGTTCAAAGCATGCGAACTAGAAAGATATGCAGTTAGGACTTGTTCAAAATTAACATAGAGATTATGTCCGGATAGGAATTAAAGCATGTTGGGTAGATATTATAT